GCGCTGGCCCGCGATGGCTGCAGAGCCCTGCAGGAGCAGCGCTGCCCCAGCGCCGAGCGCGCCTTCGCCAAACTGCTGAGCACCCTCAGCAACCCCACCTTCACGGTAAAACGGGCAARAATCACCCCATTTCGGGAAAAAATYGRATTCTGTTATTCCAAAATAATATTTGTTGTTTTTGTTGTTGGGTTATTGGRTTGAGTTGTTGGTTGAATGTGTTGGTGATGGTTGATAATTAGCAATTTTTGCAGATGTTGTGGGAAAAATATTGRTCAAAATGGTGTTTTTATAAGGGTAACTCAGGGGATTTGGATCAARTATTGGAATTGGAGAAACTTGGATCAAATATTGGAATTGAAAATATTTTGATCAAATATTGTAATTGAAAATATTTTGATCAAATATTGGAATTGAAGAGACTTTTGATCAAATATTGGAATTGAAGAGACTTTGATCAAATATTGGAGTCGAAGAGACTTTGCTCAAATATCTCAATGGAAGAGATTTTGATCAAATATTTTAATTTAAAAGGAGTTTGATCAAATATTGGAATTGAAGAGATTTTGGTCAAATATTGGAATTTAGGAGAATTGGATCAAATATTGGAATTGAAGAGACCTTGATCAAATATTGGAATTGGAGATATTTGTTATTTTTATTAAAATGTTGTTTTTATGAGGGTAAATTAGGAGATTTGGATCAAATATTGGAATTGAAGAGACTTTGGTGAAATATTGGAATTGAACGGACTTGAATATTCAATTTGATTGAAATTGATTCAACTCTGGAATCAAATATTGGAATTGACAAGACTTTGATCAAATATTGGAATTGAAGAGACTGATCAAATATTGTAATTGAAAATATTTTGATTAAATATTGTAATTTAAAGGACTTTGATTAAATATTGACATTGGAGATATTTATTATTTTTATTGTTCAGTTATTAGATTGAATTGTTGGCTGCAGAGCTGTATGGGTTGATGGTCAATAATCAGCAGGATYTTCAGGTGCTGTGGGAAAAACATTGATCAAAATAATGTTTTTATAATTTAAGAGACTTGGATCAAATGTTGCAATTGAAAAGACCTTGATCAAATATTGTAATTGAAGAGACTTTGATCAAATACCGTAATGGAAAAGATTTTGATGCAATATTGGAATTTAAGGGGACTTGGATCAAATATTGGAGTTGAAGTGATTTTGGTCAAATATTGTAATTTAAGAGACCTTGATATTGGAATTGAGGACACTTTGATCAAATATTGGAATTGAAGACACTTTGATCAAATACTGGAATTGGAGAGACCTTGATTAAATATTGGAATTGGAGATATTTATTATTTTTATGACTCAATTATTTGATTGAGTTATTGGCTGTAGAACTGAGCATTTTGATGGTGTTCAAGATTAATCTGGATTTCCAGAGGTTGGAAATAAATGGTGTTCTGATAAGAGATTTGGATTTAGGAGATTTGGATCAAATATTGGAATTGAAGAGGCTTGGATCAAATATTGGAGTTGAAGAGATTTTGGTCAAATATTGGATTTTAAGAGAATTTGATCCAATATTGGAATTAAAGAGACCCTGATCAAATACTGTAGTTTTAAGGAATTTGATCAAATATTGGAATTGAAGAGATTTTGGTCAAATATTGGAATTTATTGGGACTTTGATCAAATATTGGAATTGAAGAGATTTTGGTCAAATATTGGAATTTATTGGGACTCTGATCAAATATTGGAATTGAAGAGATTTTGGTCAAATATTGGAATTGAAGAGACTTAGATCAAATATTGGAATTTAAGAGACTGATCAAATATTGGGATTTAAGAGGCTTGGATCGAATATTGTAATTGAAAAGATTTTGATCAAATATTGTAATTTAAAGGACTTTGATTAAATATTGGAATTGGAGATATTTATTATTTTTRTTGTTCAGTTATTGGATTGAGTTGTTGGCTGCAGAGCTGAATGTGTTGGTGATGGTCGATAATCAGCGATTTTTGCAAGTGCTGTGGGAAAAATATTGATCAGAATGGTGTTTTTAAAAGGGTAATTTAGGGGATTTTGATCAAATATTGGAATTGGAGAAACTTTGATCAAATATTGGAATTAAAGAGACCTTGAGGACATATTGGCATTGGAGATATTTATTATTTTTATTGTTCAGTTATTAGATTGAGTTGTTGGCTGCAGAGCTGAATGTGTTGGTGATGGTCAGTAATCAGCGGGATTTGCAGATGTTGTGGGAAAAATATTGATCAAAATGGTGYTTTTAAATGGGTAACTTAGGGGATTTGGATCAAATAGTGAAATTGAAGAGATTTTGATCAAATAGTGTAATTGAAGAGACTTTGGTGAAATATTGGAATTTAAGGGACGTAAATATTGGAATTTAAGAGACTTGGATCAAATATTGGAATTAAAGAGATTTTGATCAAACATGATGATCCCAAAGAACTTTTCCATCCTTGGTGGTTCTGTGATTTTCAGATGAACTTTGATCGATAAAAGCAAAGGGTAACAAGGATTTTGATGGTAACTTCTGTGAAATTTGGTGTTCTCTGTGTCTGTACCCAACCAACCACTGAGCCAAGGCTCAGCCTGGATTTTTTAAAAATTAAATTTAAAATAAATTTTTCAAATTAAATTTAAAATTTTAAAATTTAAATTTTTAAATTAAAATGAATTGACAATATTTGTGCCACATTTTTGTGCTGTTGCTGTAATTTGACTTTTATTTATTTTTATTTCCAGTTTGTGAATATTCTTAATATTAATTATGTTATATTCCTGTATGGACACGGCACTGCCCTCCTGGGAATGGGGCACCCTCAGGTAGGTTCTAGGTTTCCTAGAACACCATTTACATTTGTTTATATATTTTCTTATATTATATTTATATTTATTTTCATTATATTTGTATTTATATATATTATATTACATTCATATAAAATTTAGGTTCTATTATATTTTCATATAGTAGATGTATATTGTTAAAATTATTTTTGTATTTATTCATGTTGTATTTAGATAATATGTATATATTTTGTGTAGTCTATTTGTATTTATTTTAATTATATTTATATTACATTTAATTTATAGAATATTTTTATTTATCTTTATTTAGATTTTTTAACTACATGTATTTATTCATATTATATTTTATTTACATTTMTTTATATTTATCTCCATTATATTTATTTCTATCATGTTTTATTTACATATGTTTATTTATTGATATTTTTATATAGCATATTTAAGTTTATTTTAATTAATTATATTTATTTTTATTAAATTTTATCTATATAATACTTATRTTTATATTTTTATTTAACATTTATTTTTACTATATTTATATTTATTTCTATTATGTTTTATTTACATAATATTAATATTTATTTATATTTCATAGTATATTTATATTTTCATTGCATATATATTTATATTGTATTTTATTTCTGTAATATTTAATTTATATTTTTATATAATGTATATATTTTAACTATATTTTTATTTATATTACAGTTTTTAAATAATATTTTTATTGATATTTCTGTATAGCATATTTATGTTTATTTTTGCTGTGTTTATATTTATTTACAATATGTTTTATTTGCATAATATTAATATTTATATTTTTATATAATATATTTGTTTATTTTAGCTATATTGATATTTATTTGTATTCTTTTACRTAATGTTTGTATTTATTTATATTTCTGTATAGCATGCCTATACTTATTTTAATTATATTTATTTATATTTTTTATTGTTAAAATATTTTTTCTGTGGTTTTTTAATGGCTTTTAGGAGTTTTTTAATGTTTTTTTAATATTTAATTTTTAAAATAATTTTCAATTTTTTTCAGATGATTTTCTTGTATCAAATCCTAATTATTTCCCCAATTTTTACGTTTCCCTTTATTTTCTGAAGGCTCTGGCCACAGCCGAGGGGCAGTTCCGGAAAATCCTGGAGGAATTTCCACAGGAGAGCTGCTCCTGCTTGGCCCTTTATGGGATCGGGAGGGTTTACCTGCGGCAAAACAGGTGGGGAGTGTGGGGTTTGGGGGAAAATCCCTTTTTTTGAGTGACTGRGGGAATGTTTGGGATTCAGGGAGTATTTGGGTTTGGGGAGTATTTGGGGGAATATTTGGGATTGGGGGAACATTTAGAATTGAATGACTATTTGGGTTTGAGAGAATGTTTGGGATTGGGGGAGTATTTAAGGGAGTATTTGGGATTGGGGAAATATTTTGAATTGAGGGAATGTTTGGGATTGAGGGATTGGGGGAATGTTTGAGATGATTGAGGGAATATTTAGGATTCAGGGATTGGGGCAATATTTGGGATTGGGGGAATATTTGAAATTGAGGGAATGTTTGGGATTGACGGATTGGGGTAGTGTTTGGGGGAATGTTTGAGATTGAGGGAATGTTTGGGATTGGGGGAGTGTTTGGGATTGGGGGAGTGTTTGCGATTGGGGGAATCTTTGAGGTGATTGAGGGAATATTTAGGATTCAGGGATTGGGGCAATATTTGGGATTGGGGGAGTATTCGGGATTGACTGAATATTTGGGATTGGGGGAGTATTTGAAATTGAGGGAATCTTTGGGATTGGGGAGTATTTAGGATTGAGAGAGTATTTGGGATTGAAGGAAGTATTTGAGTTTGAAGGAATATTTGGGATTGGGGCAATGTTTGGGATTGGGAGAGTATTTGGGTTTGGGGAGTATTTGGGATTGGGGGAATGTTTGGGTTTGAGGGAATGTTTGGGATTGAGGGAATATTTGGAGGAATATTTGGGATTCAGGGAATATGAGGAGTGGGGGATGGGGGATGGGGGATTGGGAGTGGGCAATGGGGAATATGGGATGGGAAATGGGGATGGGCACTGGCTGAGCAGGGTGAGGTCACTGGCATCCCCATATCCTCACTGCATTCCCTCATCCCRGGATCCCTGGGGTCACAGGATCCCTTTCCCTCCTCCCCCCTGGGCTGTTTGATCTCAAAGAACATCAGGGACCTCCCTGACCCCACTGTGACCCCACACCCCTCATGGCTGCTCTCGGCTCCCGGGCTGAGGGAAGGAATTGTGGGATTTCCAGGAGTGGTGGGATTTCCAGGAGTGGTGGGATTTCCAGGAGTTGTGGAATTTCCAGGAGTGGTGGGATTTTCTCCAGGAGATCTGAGGGGTTTCCTGTCCCATCCCCAGATTTGCCCGTGCCCTGGAGCAGTTCCTGAGGTCCAAACTGATGATTGATCTCAGCATCGTCCCCGGGCTGCTCACCTGGCCAGGAACGGCTCAGGTCATCGAGGAGACGCGCACAGAGCATTTACAGGTGGGTCTGGAGAAAACCCAAAATTCTGCTCCTCCTTCTCCTCCTTTTTCTTTTTCTTTTTCTTTTTCTTTTTCTTTTTCTT